AAAAAAAATAAATAAAAAGAATCTGTGAGTCCATACCAATAATACCAATATAGAGGAATGGAGGGAAGAGAAAGCTGTTCTTTATGGTAATATAAATATATACTCTTTTTATGCTAATGTGTGTAATAATTATAGAAGGTATGATGGAGTTATAAAATCATCAATGGACGCTGAAACAATGGGTGAAGCTTGATGATGATCAGTGTGCATACCATCTTCCTACATGTTGCTTACATTTACAAGGGAGAGAACAGTACATTCACAAGGCAGCTACCACTTTCACTAAATAAGCAAAGCTAATTTCACCAACGTGAGGACAAACCAACATTCTGCATCCTTCCCCCTCTTCCCTTATTATCATATACAGAGAAGGATGCTGTATTACTTGACCAAGATACAGTTTTGCTTGGCCAAACTTTAGTCAGGCTTCTGAATCTTCTGCTAGCTCCATCTGTGTATTTTCTTGTAAAATCCAGTTTTAGCAAAGGACCCTGACAAGTCACTTTAGCAAGGACCCCCCCATTATTGATATCTGATCATCCTCAATGTGTGATCATGTTCCTCACCCTCCACCATCTCCTGGGTGATGTCTGATCATTCTGGTCTCTCTTCAGCAAGAATCCTGTTGGTTGCTTTAGCCAGAATCCCTCTCACCCCTGATGTTTCCTCTTGGTAATTTTCCATCCATTGACCCCACCCTGCTCCTTGGCTGTAAATTCCCACTTGCGCATGCTGTATTCAGAGTTGAACCCAATCTGTCTCACCCACTGATTTGAGATCAGTCTCAAATCCATCTACCTGACTAAAATTAAGGGTTTATAAAGTAGGGAAGAAATGTAATTACATTCAGGGAAACAGGAATTAGGGAGGGGTAAGGGAGAGGAGTCGGTCAACAGGAAGCAGGGAATTGCCTCAACAATCATGATGGGTGAGGGGTCTAATGTTTCCTTGTCCAGATGCAATGATCTCCTAAATTCCAATTCCTTGATGCTATCTGAGAGGCCTGATGGTTTATTTCCTGAGAAAGGAACTCAGATAAGACAAATGTAACTTTTTCAAGTTTTAAGACTAGGAAGGCCAATTTCTCTGTTTATTCAGAAGAAACCATAAATATTAGTTTTATGGGACAATTGGGCCAGTTTCATAAACAATGCTACAGTATCTGCAAAATTCCCCTCCTGCAGAGTCTGAGATATCATCCAAATTCAGAGTTCTTTGAGTTTCTTGTTCCAGAGGAATTCACAGTTTGGAAGCTACATTCTCCCTAATATTAAAAATAGGGGTTGTGAAAATCTCTAATATTAGAGAGGTGAGTGCAAAAACTTTTATCAGTATTGATATAAATATCCAAAGTCTTCATTATCATTCTTTATATTAGTTTCTAATTTCCTTCTTAATAAGAAGAGCCAAGACTCTTAATTTGGGGGAAATAATTATTATATAATATTTAAGTAGATGATAGGTCACTTGTTAGTGTTGTAGAAGGATTTTATGTATCAAGCAGGAACACTGGGGAGCTGTGATTCTGACTGCTAAGATTAAATTTTAAATATTTTCAGTTAGAAATTCTTCTTAAGAAACAGTACCTACAATTTACAGTTTTGAAGTCTGGAACTCATATTTTCCCTGTCCCTGGATCCTACTGCCTTCTGTGTTGTGCTAAAGAGTAATCATTTCCCAGGTCAACAATTCTGATCCTCTGGTTGTTACATAATAAACCATCAGCCTCTGAATGTATTGGTCAGCATCTGTTCATTTGCTAATTATTTTAGAACATTAACTGGGTTCTTGGCCAAATGCTGATCCTGATAGACATTAGGCCAAATGTTGATTTTCACTCACCGGATCAACTCTGAGGATGCTTGTTGAGTGCTGGAGGAACTATTTAAAATCACCCAGTCCAATGCCATCATTTTGTTGTATGTGATGCTTTCATCTCCTACCCAAACCTGAAATGTGACTCCCAAGTTCCAATTCAAAATGGCCACTGATGTATTTTGCAACTTTGGTCAAAGCAGTAGAAACAAAACCCTTTTTTTTTTTTTTTGGAGACGGAATCTCACTCTGTTGCCCAGGCTGGAGTGCAGTGGTGCAATCTCAGTTTACTGCAGCCTCCGCCTCCTGGGTTCAAGCGATTCTCCTGCCTCAGCCTCCTGAGTAGCTGGGACTACAGGTGACTGCCACCATGCCTGGCTAGTTTTTGTATTTTTAGTAGAGACAGGGTTTCGTCATGTTGGCTAGGCTGGTCTTGACCTCAAGTGATCCGGCCGCCTCAGCCTCCCAAAGTGCTGGGATTACAGGTGTGAGCCACCATCTCTGGCCCAAAACACTTTTAAAATTTATTAAAATCTTGTTAATGAAAGAGGAAATGGATGCTCTAACAGTTATGAAGAGGTTACCAGTCAAAAATCTGAAAAAAGAGTAATAAGTTTATTTTTAAAAATTATTATTATTTTTTGAGATAGAGTCTCATTCTGTTGCCCAGGCTGGAGTGTGGTGGTGCAGTCTTTGCTCACTACAACCTCTGCCTCCCAGGTTCAAGTGATTCTCTTGCCTCTGCCTCCTGAATAACTACAGCCACCATGCCTGGCTAATTTTTGTATTTTTAGTAGAGACGGGGTTTCACCATGTTGGCCAGGCTGGTCTCAAACTCCTAACCTCAAGCTTCCTAAAGTGCTGGGATTACAAGCGTGAACCACTGTGCTCAGCTGAGTAATAAGTTTAGATGAGAGGAGGAGAGTGCAAAACACATTTTATTTGACAATTTTTTTTGGATGTAAAGTTTAAAATGTTAAAACAATTTGACTTTTGTAAGAAGCCAAATATCTAACAATCTGAAGAATACTACATTTAACCAGTATGTTGGACATCAAAGGGCTTTAAATATGTTTATGGCTGGGTGCGGTGGCTCACGCCTGTAATCCCAGCACTTTGGGAGGCTGAGGCGGAATGTCAGGAGTTCGAGACCAGCGTGGCCAACGTGGTGAAACCCCATCTCTATTAAAAATACAAAAATTAGCCGGGCTTGGTGACCGGCGCCTGTAATCCCAGCTACTTGGGTGGCTGAGGCAGGTGAATCACTTGGACCTGGGAGGCGGAGGCTGCAGTGAGCCAAGATCATGCCATTGCACTCTAGCCTGGGCAACAGAACAAGACTCCATCTCAAAAGAGAAAAAAAAAATCTATTTTCCAAAGAGTGAAAGACCTGTGGCCTTTTGGAAGAAAATATCAGTTCCATGTTTAATTATTAATAACATCTCTAATTTTTTACTTTCTCATAAAAAGTATCAGTGGTATACAGTCAACTTCTTAAGACTGGTGAGAATTAAATGAGATAGTATGAAGGCACGTAAAAAGAATTTACATTCCTTTTCCTTATAATCCCAATCTATCCTATTAAAAAAACTTACAGATATTAATATTAAAATGAGTCATTGGCATGTCATTATATTGAGATAAAGACTAGTTGAATTTATCAGCAAAAAGCCACCAGAGAAACAATGATTATGTGTCTTCTATTCTAATTTATGTAGATCTCTATTCCTTTTACAAACTACAGTATAGGTTATAAAATCTTTTACTGAAAAATCTTAAAAATCTTACATGAGATGAAAATATTTATTGCCTCTTTCTTGATGTTAACTAGAAGCAATGTTTTTTTTTCTATCACCTGAGTGACCTGACACCGGTTATCTTATGTGAAAATTGATTTTTATTTCCCTTGCCAGGAGAGCTCACATGGTTTGGATTCTAACTTCAATTTGGTCAGTAATAAATTGCCCAAGCCACATGGGCCTCCCCTACTTCATGAGAATCTCTTCTCAACAGGGCTGTTCTGGGACTGTGGGCTTGGATTGGGATGTATTTTGGGGGTAGTGCTGAGGGAAATTGGTCAAAAGCTCATTTTGAATAAGCTCCATGCCATCGAATTCTGAAAGGCTCCATGTTTCATTGGGCCTTCAAGGAGATTTGTGTAGAGCAGGGTCTGGGGCCCAATTCCAAGCTTGCCAGGAAGGTAGACTAGAAATTACCAAGGATCTCCACCCCAACTCACTGACTTTTGATGTGTAAGAGCGCAAAAGCTCACCAGGGCCTCCCTCCCAGAGATGCTAGGATGTGGAGCAGCCTTTCCCCAGGTGTGAAGCCACAAAGTGGGAAGCATCTTTGACTTGCTCCTGTCCCTCCATCCCCACATATCCTTGACCTTGCCAAGACCCGGCCATTCAACTTCCTTATCCCAGGGATTATCCCACTCTCTTCCTGGTGCCACTGTTCCGGTCAGATCTTCATCATTTCCCACCTGAAGTATTGCAACAGCCTCCGAACTGGTCCTCCTTCCTCAACTGCACCCAACACCCTCCTCCCCACCCCCCACTATCCATTCTTTTTTGGTTTTTTTGAGACGGAGTCTCGCTCTGTTGCCCAGGCTGGAGTGCAGTGGTGCGATCTCGGCTCACGACAACCTCTGCCTCTCAGGTTCAAGCGATTCTTCTGCCTCAGCCTCCCGAGTAGCTGGGACTACAGGCGTGCACCAACACGCCTGGCTAACTTTTGTATTTTTAGTAGAGATGGGTTTTCACCGTATTGGCCAGGCTGGTCTTGAACTCCTGACCTTGTGATCTGCCCGCCTTGGCCTCCCACAGCCATTATCCATTTTTTATACAAGTTTCCCAGAGTGCTATTTTTGAAAATAAAAATATGATCAAGTCCCTTATTTCTTAAAAGTCTTCACTGGATCCCTAATCATTTACAAGATAATATATATATAATGACTAAACTCCTTAGCATGTGCATAGATAGAATATATTCTCTAATATTCCTTAATTATTCCTTTAGTTCCCTTTTTGGTCTTCTTTCCTTTCACTGCAGGATCTACATCTTACTATTTACTTATCTATTTCCACCATGGTGAACTTTTTAAGAGCAGAAAATTTTTTCAGATGACACTCCTATGGCTAGGATGTAGCATGGTGCTTGGCATCCAATAAACAGAAACGCAGAATAGTCATTAGCACTTAATTTTAATTAAAATCAACAGTTCAGGAGAAGATAAGGACCAGAATAGTGTTTAATATCAACTTCTGAGAAATCACATTTACAGAAAAGAAATAAAACAGGCCAGCAGAAGTCCAAAAAAGATGCAGCTTACATTATTGCACTTGGATGAAATATGCTATATTTAGAGTAGCATGATATTCAGGCCAGGCCAGGGGAGAAAGAGACAAATGGAGAGGACAAACCTCCAGGTAGTATTTATTCCGGATTCCAAACTCTCCTGTAGCCTAAACAATATTTAGTCTATTGGAAACATTCAGCAAGCTCTTTACAAAAATGACTGCAGTATCTTCAACACATTTGAGTTGCACTCATACTTTGTTCCAGTCATGTGCAAGTTTAACAGCTCTACCTCACAAAACGGGACATCTGTGACACCAGAACCTCCCTGTGCCCAAGGTCATGGACAGGAGGGGAAGGAAGTGAATTTCTACTTTATGCATATTTTAGGGAACAATACTGTGCTATCATTTACCCTTTTGAGCAATCTTGGTTTTGGTCATTTATAATTAGAACATGAGAAAAAGTGACAGTGAATACAAATCAGTACTAACCAAATCCTGAGGCTGGTACTAGAAAATAAAACAAAATTTTAAAAAAAGTCCCTTGCCACATTCACAAAGGTGGCAATAACTGTATATATAAGAAAAAGGCTGTAAACTTATAGAAAAGATAAACTCTGACTTCTAAACAAATTACAAAATTGATTTTGCCTTTATCCTTGAGTGTAATACAGAAAAATGTAAACCTATAGACCTAGGTACCAAAAGACACTTATCCTCCTCAGCCCAGTTATGAACTTAAAGTTTGGCCTGAGCTAGTTTGATCTTCAAGTTTTCTCCAAGTTTGTCCATGAACTCAAATGTATTCAAGTAGTCAGAACGTTGCACACTAATGGGGAGGAAGAAAAAGAAAATTTAGTTTGTCTCTGATATGGTAGCAGGTAGCGGTAAAGTCCTAGAAATGCTACTTAAAATAGTATTCTCTTTGTTTCTGGAAGAAAACACATTCATGTTAGTAAGCTACAAAATTTAGAGACAATGACTATGTTCAAGGTTCCTGGGGCTGACCCAGGCTCAGTACTCAGGCTCTCCAGGCAGCCTGCAGTAGAGACTCACCCACACATACTCAGTTAGGTTTCTTGCTATGTAGCTTTGGGGGTGAAATTATCACGGAGTTTCAGTTCAGACTAATGCTGCTGAAACCAAAATCATCCCACTTCTTCCTCATTCTTAAACATAACAAAACTTATTCAGGGCATAGCCAAACCTTTACCCACCTTCCCACAAACTGTTACATGTCCTTACAAAAGGATATAATGTTATTATTTCTATCAGTGTCTTAAGAAAACAAAAGACAGGCCAGGCCTGGTGGCTCATGCCTATAATCCCAGCACTTTGGGAGGCCAAGGTGGGCAGATCATGAGGTCAAGAGATGGAGACCATCCTGGCTAAAAGTGGAACCCCGTCTCTACTAAAAATACAAATAATAATAATAATGATAATAAAATAAAATAAAATTAGCTGGGCATGGTGACACACACCTGTAGTCCCAGCTACTTGGGAGGCTGAGGCAGGAGAATCGCTTGAACCCGGGAGGCGGAGGTTGCAGTGAGCTGAGATCACGCCACTGCACTCCAGCCTGTGCGGAGCGAGACTGTGTCTCAATAGAAAAGAAAAAAAAGGAAAAACGAAAGACAGTAGACTGGATAACATAATCCTGCTGACAGGTGCCTATTAAATAGGCTACAAAGGTATTCCACTGATAAGACCATTTCAAACACTGCAATCTTGCTGAAAATTTAAATTAAGAAACATGCAGTGATCAAGTATATCCCCATTATGGGGTATACTGATCCTACTTGGGACCTCTGTGGATGCACTGGTTGAGATATGGAGCCAATCCCCCCAGGATACTGGCTACCATGTTCTCAGAAAAATTCTCAGTAAACATATGGGCTGTCAAATATTTGCCTAAATATCGGTTACAGATACTTAAGGGACTATAAACAATTGCACACCTTAAACCTGTGCTGCTCACTTTTCTCATCGGTAAGTTAAAGAAAATAAAGGTGTAGAATAAAATAGCCTCTGAAGTACCTTTGTTTCTATTTGTCTATAATCTGCTTCTTAAGATTAAATAGAACCTTTTCATTCAATGATTGTCAACTAGATAGGATGTCAGCAAATTACAGCCCAGCACATGGTTTCGAGCATAAAAGTTTGATTGTTGTCACACCATTTGATTCTGTATTGTCTATGACTGCTTTTTTGCTACAATGGCAGAGGCAAAGTTGAGTAGTTGTGTAGTTGCAAAAAGACTGTATGTCCTACAAAGCCTAAAATGTTCACTATCTGACAATTTACAGATAATGTCTGCTGACTGCTGAACTAGATGATGAATAACAATTTATATATTTCCAGAAAGCACTGATGCTCTAAGCCCAATGAGGATAAGTGTTAATTTGACCACAGACGCTAGGGCATCTTATACTTACTTGGGTAAACCTTTAATGCAAGCGGCCAAGTCCTTGGTCATGAAGCCAGCCTCAATTGTCTCAATACAGACTTCTTCCAAAGCATTTGCAAAGAAGGCAAGTTCTTTATTGTTATCAAGCTTTGCTCTGTGGGCTAACCCTCTGGTCCAGGCAAAAATGGAAGCTAAAAGGGGGGAAAAAACCCAACACTCCCATCATCCCAGTTACAGAGGTTTCCAAATGTCTCATAGCTCCCAAAAACAGAATAGTTTTTTGTTTAGGTGACAGACTTCTTTAGATACTAACAACATGGGTCAGAAGTTTTAGGAAAGTTAGAAATATTTTACCAAACAGAAACTTTAAGAAAACACATTTTCATGGCATGGTACTAGTGCTTGAAACTTAAGGCATTTTCTGATTTGAAAAAGGTCACATTCTCTTCTATCTCTTGTCTATATTGGTCTCCTTTTTCCAGGCTGTAATCTCCTTTTAAAGTGCTATCTTTGAAACTGGTTGAAAGGATCTATCCCTGTGACTTTTAGATTTGTAGCCTTATGTGACATTTCACTGCACCACGGGTAAAGGAAAATGCTTGTTGATAATTCTTCTCTGTAACCTATGTTCTCCCACAAAACAGAAAAGCATGTATTTTATATTTTAAGAAGCATATTCAAATAGATCTTATTAGTAGAACAAATCAGCTACTTAGTGATGACTTTGCACACAAAACACTGAGAAGCCAAGGGAACACATCTGAGCTGCTTTGGAGATATCCTTTGGAGAGCACTCTCTGGTGAAAAATCAGTGTAAACACCATCTTACCAATGGGATTGGTGGACGTCTCCTGTCCCTTCTGGTACATGCGGTAGTGACGGGTTACAGTCCCGTGGGCAGCCTCTGCTTCTACTGTCTTGCCATCTGGACAAACCAGCACACTGGTCATCATGCCGAGAGAGCCATACCCTGTAAGTAGCGGAGCATGAAGCATTGGGTCCAACTGCATGAAGAGCACGGAGTCTCTCAGAAATGAGAGCATAAATGACTCTATCTTGATAGGTCTTAGTAAGCAAAGTAAACATGAGCACATGGAATCACCAATAATTCTGCCTTTCAGAAGGCAGGATCCCTGTTCCAGATGTCAGAGCCAATGGGTCTGGAAAGGCTGCATTTTCCCCTCACTTATCTCAGGGGTACCTACTCCCTGATGGAGGGTTCAGGGTCCAACTGCCTGCATTCCACTCTAGTTCTGTGGCTTTATAGCTACTGTGGCTCAGTTTTCTTATCTGTAAAATGGGAGTAATAACAGCACCTACTTCACTAGGTTGCTGTGGGATTAGATAAATATACATATATTCATAAATATATATGAAAACTATATATTTCTTAGAATAGTACTGGACACAGTGAGAGCTCAATCTATTACTGTTATTCTTATGTGCAATGCTCTGCTGTTCTGGGGAAATAAAGATGGATGAGAGCTGTCTCCTACCCTCAAGCTGCTCATACACTTGCTGGGACTGGGAAGAGAAGGCAGGTAAACACAGGATCGGTTGGATCCAAGAACATCCCAGTTGCCCTTCCTCGCTCTCTTTCATACCCTCAATACAACAATTCATTTCTGTAGTTTCTTATTGAAAGAACCACATTACAACTCTTATATCTATACAATTGATTTTCTTCTTTTCTCCATTTTTGCTACCTCCCAACATCACCTGTGAAGTTAATAATCAACCACGGAGTCATCACAAAGCAACACCACTCCTTCCTCTGTTGCATTCAGTACAAATGATTGTGAGAATGTAGAGAAACAGAAGCAGGGTAAGGAGAGAGTTGTGTAACTCATTTATCTGACATAAAAGTTATCTTTAACCAGGTTGATCTACTGATTTTCAAACTGAGAGGAGATGCTTAACACTGATAAGAGAAAGAAAAAGTAGAACTTCTTGGGAAAAACAAACATAATTAAAGTTAACAAACATTCATCTGGGGAGATTCAAGTTCACACAGCTACCATGGGCAACTGAAACTGAAGGGCAACTTGGCGCTGAGGAAACCAGGTGCTGTGTTTCTGTTGATTTGGCCCTTACCCCATGCATGAAACTTCTGGAATTTCTGTAAACAGTCCTGGGTTCTTTGCTCAATGTATTTGTGTATAAGCTAAGCAGTAAACAAAAACGCTTGTATTTTTTTGTTGTTGTTGAGACAAGAGTCCTGCTCTGTTGCCCAGGCTGTAGTATAGTGGCACGGTCTCAGCTCACTGCAACCTCCGCTTCCCAGGCTCAAGAAATTCTCATGCCTCTGCCTCCTGAGTGGTCCCAGCCACTGGAGGCATGTGACTGCACCTGGCTAATTTTGGTATTTTTTTTTTTTTAAAGTAGAGATTGGATTTTGCTATGTTGGCCGGGCTGGTCTCGAACTCCTGGCCTCAAGTGAACCACTGCCTTGGCCTCTCAAAGTGCTGGGATTACAGGCATGAGCCACTGTGCCCGGCCAAACACATTTGTTTTCTATTCTACCAGAATAGCAGCTGGCAGAGGGACATGAGTAGGTCCTGCTGCTAGACAAATGAGCTTTGCAGGCACCAAAGCTTGGTTATGACATGATCAGGCTCCTCACTTTATCCCTCCTTGCCTGAGTGCCCTGGTTTTTTACATTTTCACCAAAGGACAAAGAGGGCAGGGAAAGGGAGTGATTTTTCAGATCAGGTAGGCTTTAAAACTTCAAGTGGGGAAAAAGGTTACGAGAGAAACTGTGTTAACATCTAAGGCTGGAGCCAGGAGTGTCAATCCACTCATTTACTTCCCTTGTGGTCTTGAGTAAATCACTTCTCTAGTCTGAGCTTCATTTCCTTAGCTGTCAGATAAGACAGTGGACCTGGAGTTTTAACATTCCATGATTTTACAGCAAAGGACTACAAAACTCCCCTCCCCAAATTAGAGAACTACCCTGGAATGACCCAGTTCCCACAGGCCAGGCTCCACCTCCGTACCTTGGGCCACAGAGTCCGACTGCACGTCACCATCATAGTTTTTACAGGCCCAGATGAAGCCTCCCTCTGATTTCATAGCTTGGGCCACCATGTCATCGATGAGCCTATGCTCATACCAGATCTTTTGGGCTTCAAATTGGGACTTGTACTGCCTAGGAAACAAGAGAGAAAAGAGAATAATAATAAAATTGATTTTGTTACGGATATCATCTGTTTGTCCCAAAGAGAAGATAGGACACACAAGCAGCAGCATATATTTTAGTGGAAGCAGCAGAAACTCAGGAATCTGACAGATATTGGCTCAAATCCTAGCCCAATCATTTTCTAGCTGTAAAACTCAATTTGACCATCTGTAAGAACAATTTTACCCACCTTGCAGGGAAGCTGTGAGAATTGAGACAGTAGAGTATCCCAATGACTACCTCACTTTTCAGTTTTCATTATACTATAGATCAGATTCTTGAGATTCAGCTTATTTTAAAAATGTATTTTTGAAAAGGCTGTTCTACTGCTTGGTGTCATTCAGGAAACTAAAACATATTCCGGACAGATTCTGGGCTTGGTATAGATGGGCAGCAGTAGGAGGAATCAAAATGACTCAGGAACATTTTGGCCTGAACACCTGCACCTAAAGAGACTTATGCCAATCTTAAATATTAACACATGCTCACCTGCTGTGCTGTGGACGCCAGTGTTGTTATAAACTTAGACTTAAGCTCAAATGACTCCACTAAAACAGAGTTTTAAATTCTAACAATGGGCTTCAGAAAGCATGGAAATGGGTCTGACTTAGAAACTCCCACATGAAAAATTAGAACTTCCTATCACTAACAGGGTACTTTTATTTAAACATTAAAGAACCTGGCTCTGAAAAAAATTCTTGTGGGGCCCTTATTTGAGAACATGTTTATCTTCTAAAAGCAACTCTGAGTGGTTTTGTTTCACTCCTGCTAAACCTCAGCTTTGCCCTTATCTTTAAGAGACAGTGATGATTTTCACTCAATTTCCCCAGAATCATAGGGACAGGGAGATACATACTCTATATGACAAATGTCAGCTTGAGAATAAGGAAAATGTTAAAAAAGAACTATAGTTACTTGTCATATATCTCCTGAAAGATGTCTTTAAAACGCCCATCATATTTCTTCAGAATAGTGTTTTTGGTGCTCAGATACAAAGGCCAACCCTTAGACAGAGCCATTTGGAAGGAACTGTGTGCAAAATCTTCAATTGACTTATCTTGATTATACATCCCCATGGCAACACCACCACCCTCTGTAGAGGAGAAACCAATAAGAGGAAAAAAAGGGAGAAGAATAAATGTAGTGTAGTTGTAATAAGGGTAAAGTTACCTATCACAACCGAATGACCTACTTCTCAGCTCTCACATCTGAGACTAGACTTCAGAAGTCCCAGACAGGTTTCCAACCTGAATATTCTACAAATTTCTGAGGCATATAATGAGAGAAAAGCCAGTTCTAGATAAGGACATTCTAACTTGCTTTGGAAGTACAATAGAAATGAAAAAACATACAGTCTTTAAAATCCTGAAGATGCAGAAATACCAAAAACTGGTATGAAGCATAAATACATGTAAGAAAAGGCAAAGAATTTTGAAACTTCTTTTACATACTGATATGGTTTGGATATTTGTCCCTTCCAAATCTCATGTTGAAATGTGATTCCCAATGTTGGAGGTGGGGCCCGGTGGGAGGTGATTGGAACATGGGGTTGGATCTCTTATGCATGGCTTAGCACCATCCCCTTTGGTGATTATGTGAGTTCTTGCTCAGTTAATTCACTTGAAATTTGGTTGTTTAAAAGAGTCTGGGACCTCCCCCTTCTCTTTCTCTTGCTATGTGATACACCTATTGTCTGTTCGCCTTCTGCCAAGATTGGAAGCTTCCTGAGGCCCTCACCAGGAACAGGTGTTGAAACCAGGCTTGTACAGCCTGCAGAACCATGAGCCAATTAAACCTCTTTTCTTTATAACTTACGCAGCCTCAGGTACTTCTTTATAGCAACGCAAGAATGGACAAACACACCTACCTTTACAATTCCCAACATCTATTTTAAACTTTGGGGGTATACTCAATCCTCAGTTATTGAGAAAAACTTGCATTTCAAATACTGAATGAAAATTCTTATAATCTCTTGGAGGATACTGAACACTCCTCCTGTAGTTGGTAGAAATAAGTAGAAATAATTATGCTACATGTAATCACCGTCTTTTACAACTCTTATTGAACTCTGTTTAGATAGAACTTGAATCTATGCCAACGCTCAGGGTTAACTTGGGTTCAGGGTGAAAGGTGCTGAAGCCTGCAGAACCAGATTCCAATAAATGATATTATTTGGAAGAGGCAAGAAAAACAAAAGCTAGGTGAATGTTGGGGTTTTTTTTGTTTGTGTGAGTGCTTTCAACAACTTCAATAGCGAAGGAAAAGGGCCGACTAATTGTTTCAACAACTTGTGGGTGGGATTTACCATCAAAGGTAGCAGGGTAGCTGGGAAAGAAAAGGCAAAAAGCAAATGTTCCACTTTCACAGGATAAATACCCAGAAGGGCAAGAAGAAAACTTCAGCAAATATATAATGCAACCTCTTCCAGATACAAACCCTATCAGAGCAAAGGGCAGGATTATATGCCAGGTGATTTGAGAATATTAATATTTAATGTATACAATTCACGCACAACAGATTTCTGCCAACCTTCTCTCTGTGCTTTAAGATAAATGCGTAATTATCTCCTTGTCTTTGCCGAAAGGCATTTCCAATTAAGTGGCTAACTCTTTTGTGCCTTTAATCATGCCACAGGAAGGTATGGAAGCAAATTACTTTTTTATGTCAGGTTTCGGGTTTTGCAAAAACACTGTAGATTCAGATTATATTTTTAGGCAGCCACATAACTAACTTTAAAAAAGCAATAAAAATGTTATCTAAATCATTTGTTTAAAAAAAAAAGATGAAGCTTATGCTACAGTCATACATACCTTCAAAGTTATGTACCAGGTATGTCACCTTTTGGGTTCCGTCACTTGGTGTGTAGGTTATCTCTACTTTTCCAGGCCCAGGAACAACAAAATCAGTTGCTCTGTACTATGTAGGGGGGAAAAAGGGTATAAAGAAAAAAAAAATACCCTAGCAGGAATTATAAGGATCATATGCATACAATATAGACCTAGAAGATGCCTAGACAACTAAGGTAGTTTTTAAACTTTTTTTTTTTTTTTTTTTTTTTGTTAGGAGATGTGGATGAAGAGGTCTAGAAGTTCCCCCAAATCAATAAATATTTATTAGGTGCCTATATGATGTACAGGAAAGTTTTCTGAGCACTGATCTGGAGAGGACAGAGAATAACATAAGCCAGTTTCCTTTAGGAAGTTTACAACCCAATAAAGACATATACAAGTGAAAAGCAATATAAGAGCTTTCAAATGCCAAAAGAGAGTATAGACCCCCCCTAAAAGACTATAGGATGACAAAAGAAAAGAGGTGACCATGGCATGGAAGCCAGGGAAGTCTCCCTAGAGGGTGATGATAACAATACTAGTTGTAGTACTGAGGTAGCTAATGCTTTGTCCTTACTCTATGCCAGACGCTTTAAGTGCTTAACTTGTATCACCTCATTTGATTCTTACATCAGCCTTACAAGGAGGGAACTATGATATAGTACAAATACTGCATCCAGGGTCAAAGGACTTGAGGTCTGGTCCATCCTTAGGCCATCGGAGCTCGGTCTCTCATGGTATCATTGTTACTAGTGTTATAGGACTTGTTCATATGGAGCAATCAAATCATTCTGGGAGCAGCTACAATGGGATGATGATGGTTTTTGGAAAGGGCTGTTCAAGGACAGACACCTCCCTTATGGGCCTCAGCTACTGAGTGGAATAATATGCCTGGCATATACTAGACATCCAGAAGTCTTTGCTGCATTGTATCTTCTTCAATGACTTGAATCAGATACTTGCAGAGTTAGGTACCAGCAGGCGCTGGCCACATCTATATGTGTAGAGAAATACTAATAACAGGCTGGGCGTGGTGGCTCATGCCTGTAATCCCAGCACTTTTTGGAGGCCGAGGTGGGCGGATCACAAGCTCAGCAGATCGAGACCATCCTGGCTAACACGGTGAAACCCCGTCTCTACTAAAAATACAAAAAATTAGCCGGGCGTGGTGGCGGGCACCTGTAGTCCCAGCTACTAGGAGGCTGAGGCAGGAGAATGGCGTGAACCCAGGAGGCGGACCTTGCAGTGAGCTGAGATCGTGCCACTGCACTCGCCTGGGCAACAGAGCAAGACTCCATCTCGGAAAAAAAAAAAAAAAAGAGAAATACTAATAACAGTTGGTCAAAGAACAGCAAGTAACAATGAAGATTAAATACCTACTTTACACAGAACATTGTTGACATATAAAGTCTGTAAATTAAATATGAGTGGTAATTTATTACTATTTCTGAAAAGGGAGAAACTGAGGCACCAAAGCACCATAAATGCATTGTATAGGTTTATGTATATTTAAACAGTCTGTGAATCGACCTGAGGTTTGAAATTCTCTTTCTGGACTTAATAAGTACAATGGCCATTTTTACAAATAACTGATGCCAAAAACAAAACAAAACAAAACAAAAACAAAGGAAAGCCGGGTGTGGTGGCTCACGCCTGTAATCCCAGCACTTTGGGAGGCAAAGACGGGCAGATCACGAGGTCAGGAGTTTGAGACCAGCCTGACCAACATGGTGAAACCCCATCCCTACTAAAAACACAAAAATTAGCCAGGTGTGGTGGCAGGTGCCTGTAATCCCCAGCTACTCAGCAGGCTGAGGCAGGAGATTTGCTTAACCCAGGAGGCGGAGCTTGTAGTGAGCCAAGATCATGCCACTGTACTCCAGCCTGGGCGGCAGAGCGAGACTGTCTCAAAAACAAAACACAAAAAGGATACACACACAAAAAAGGCACGACTGAGCCCAAAAGAATCGAGGGTGATGTTTGCAAGATTAGCGAGTTTGCACCACTGCCATCTACCTTCCCTTGCCTGGGCCCCTGGGAGCTATTTCTGAAGGCTCTGGCCAGGACGAAAGGATAGTTTTAGCCACAGGGTGGAACAAAGTTAACTGATCCCTCAAGGACTAAACTGTTTACCCTCAACACACTGTTTTCAATGATGGCTACATTAAAACCTCCGGATTTCAACATCAGAGATTCCTGTTTTTAAGGTCCTTTTAAGACATAAACTACTTTCTGTGAAAGTCTGAAACCTCAGTTTCAACACTGAACTTTGATTTTGTTTACTTGGCAGTTTTTTGCTTAATTTGGCAACAAGCCTACTGGTACAGAAGTAAAGAAGCAATACTGTTTTTCCAAGCAGGCAGGAATGCTTTAGTAAGGCTGCTTTCAACTACCGAGTCAGTTTTTTTTTTTTTTTTCTTTTTCTTTTTTGAGACAGGGTCTTGCTCTGTTGTGCAGGCAGTGGTGTGATCATAGCTCATAGCTGTAACCTTGAACTCCTGGGCTTAAGGGATCCTCAGGCCTCAGCCTCCCAAATAGCTGGGACTATAGGCACATGCCACTCCACTCAGCTTTGCCTACTCACTTTAAATATGAATCAACAATAAAACTGGCTCTTCCATGAGCAATTGATGTAATTATTGAAATACTTTTCATTTTTGTAGAGACAGGGTTCTGCTATTCAGGCTAGTCTCAAACTCCTGGCCTCAAGCAGTCCTTCCAACTTGGCCTTCAAAGTGCTAGGATTACAGATGTGAACGATGGTACCCAGCCAGTTTTTTCTTTTATGCATGATGGGATCATGTTTAATACAATCTTTGGTGGTTCTCAAGTTTGCGTATTAGATTCACCTAGGGAGCTTTAAAATGGCTAAACCCCATGGAATTCAGATTTCAATTTGTGTAGGGTGGTACTCAACATTGGAACTAAAACAAAGAAACAAATCAAGCAAAGCAAAACAAAACCACCAAAAAAACTTGTAGGAGGATCCTATTGTGCAGCCAGTGTTGAAAACCACAGATCTGGTTGAACCATATGAAATTACAAACATAAAAATGGCAATATCCTATGGTATAACTGAATAAAAGGATAAAGGAAAAAAAAAACAGCATGTTTGAAAAAATGTGTTGAGATGGATGCCTATTTGTAAGTTTATTTGTATTTGCCTTTAGCTAAATGTGTGTAAATATACAGTTATACATATATGCATTGATCAATTTTGTACTTTGCTTAATGGGTGTAGATACCAAAAGATAAGAATAAAACACATATAAGTTGGAAAGTCTGGGCCATGAAAAAAGAACATGGAAAATCAAATTATTGCCAACATAACTTACTTGATCCCCGTAAGCATGACGACCTATGATGATAGGTTTTACCCATCCACTCACAAGCCGGGGGATATTTTTGCAGATAATGGCTTCTCTGAAGACCGTGCCACCCAGAATATTTCGTATGGTGCCATTTGGTGATTTCCACATTTGTTTCAACTTGAACTCCTCAACCCTCTTCTCATCAGGAGTGATAGTGGCACATTTGACGCCAACATTATACTTCTTTATAGCTTCTGCAGCATCCTTGGTGACCTGGTCGTTGGTGGCATCACGATTCTCTATGCCTAAATCATAGCTAGAAAGAGAAAAATTAGAAGCAAAATTTTTCAGACAAACGGATAGTTGTAACCTATAACTACAGTGATGGCATATAGAGCTCATTATGAGAAAGTGAAGGCTCCAAGTATACCAAAATCTGCCAAGTTTTAGCATTAGCACACCCTAAACACAGAACATGGGTGCCAACTAAAAAGAGAACTAAGAGAGGCTAGACTGCCGGGCCGCCCCTCCTCTTGTAATGGGAAGCTGTCTATCAGGAAACTGAATGGAAACCATCAAACTCTGCCCTTTGCCTCCTGTTTTTCAACAGATAGAGGAAATAACGGCCGGGTTTCTCTCCATATAATTAGTATAATTAAGTGTAAGCCTAAGAGCCACCTTTTTCCCTTAGTAAATATTGTTCTTTAAAAATAAAAGGGGGTGGGAGGGCTTAAAGGATTTTTTGTATTTTGACATTAAAGTGGTAGGAGGTAAAGATGTGACAGTTGATGCCAAAAATGCTAATGGCTCCTTCATTAATGCCAGTCATAAAATTAGCCTTTCCCTAATTATTATTATTATTATTTTTGAGACGAGTCTTGTTTTGTTGCCCAGGTTGGAGTGCAGTGGCATGATCTCGGCTCACTCAACCTCTGCCTCCTGGGTTCAAGTGATTCTCCCGCCTCAGCCTCCCAAGCCGCTGGGACTACAGGCATGCGCCACCATGCCCGGCTAATTCTTTCTCTAATTCTTGAGCAAGTGCTTGTTCTGGAAACAAGCCTACAGTTTATTGGGTAAGTAATGGAATCATCATGGTTTTGTGTATACCAGAGAGTTACAGCTTAATATACACCAACACTAAGATTGCAGGTCATTCAGAGTTGAAAGAATGTTGGGTTGTCCAGGGAACATAGAAAATGACTGCAAAGCTTTATTTGAAGCATGTAACAGTTTGTTAAAAAGCAAGAAAACAAAATAATGTAACAATGTATTCTGTTCTCCAAGGATTTAAAGAAAAGTTTTTCAGCTCTTAAAACTTGCTGAACTATTATGCCTCTAGATTTCTTTTTGGTTCCTTTATTTTCCTTTCTTAGATCTCCTACCCAACTCATGATGCAAACAAAGAGATAGTAATCTTGACTTATTTCCAGATAAAAATAATTCCCAGCTGCTTCGACTTTAGATAAATCATATAAATCTAGTGAAGTCATGTCCTTTGTTATCTTCTTGCACAGGAAATGCTGATCCAATCCCAACTCTAACAGGAGGTATGATCAGTAATTTTCAAGTTCCTGGGAACCATTTCTCATGAGGAGAATCTACCAGCAAATTAGTAGATTTTTTGCTTGTCTTCTTAACATTTCTAACAAGATAAGAAAGGAAGGAACAAATTACCGGGACCACTGTCCAGCCTACATAAAACAAACTATCTGCTCCATTCTCCTCAAAAAGAACCAGTCAGTGATAATCATAGCAATTTTGGAAAAATTTAAAACTTGTTTGAGCCTCCAAAAATTATCTAGTCTGCAGCCACCAACTTTTTTCCTCCTAGTCATAGTGCCTCCCCTTTAAAACTCCTCATGATTCTACACTAAAGAGCCTCAAAGCATCTTTGCAGCCATTATAAGGACAAGAACCCTGCCAGTTCACCTACTGTCATGTAAAGTCCTGAAACAGGAGTTCCTAAAATGCTGTTTTTTTAACCTAGTTGGAAGATATTTTTATGCCTAATTTCTTATATGTTTGGTTGACTTCTGCAAGCATTTATATCTTATGATTTCAATATAGACATCAGCAGCTTAGGATTAGAATAATTAAAAAGTATGTTTAATGACATTATGTGAATTAAATGTCTCCACTCAATCAGGTCCTTAGGACAAATTTTGATGGCTAATTCTGGGCTGAGGCAAACACACTTAGAGTTGCCAATAGTTTGGCTGAAATGTGTTGCTCAATATTTTACTATGCCAGTCTTCAGCCACTTTACCCTTTAAAAAATTCTATCTCTACCTAAAGATACAAAGAATAGAAGCAAGTTTATAAAAAGCACAGCGAAAAAATGAGAGAATTACACAGACGTTTGCATCTGTCCCCAAGCACTTTACACGCAGGGCAAAGAGACATAGGATTTAAGGGAACTTTTGCTGGAAAGGAGGGGTTCAATTAAGTAACTTCATGAATTCTTTCTGCACTACAATTATATGAAAAGGGCAAAAGGTGAGGAATGAAAAGGAAACAGGTCCATTGACTAAGCAGAGTGATAGAAAACTGAGTTTGAAATGACAAAACTGTGTTAACTGCATTCAGTTTACTGTTTCTTACATCCTCTCTTATTTCCCTTTTCTCAATACATTGTACTACTTACTCTTAGCCACTGCTTTGTTACAAATAAAACCTTCACAGGAAACAGAAGGTTAGAAGAATCTGAAAATCATTCTTTCCCTTATAATTCTTGACTTTTAGATGATAAATCAAGTTTTTCTAGCAGTATGTTAAAATTAAAATAGAAGATTCATCTGAATATATTTAGGCTTAAAACAAACTTTATTCACAAAACACAGCTATATCTATATAAAAAAAGCTAACTTCACCTCAAAATAATTCAGATTACGTTCTTTTTTTTTTTTTTTTCCTGTTTCTCCTTCCTTTTTGTTTTTCTTTTTTTTAAAGTGATGGGGTCTCACTCTGTTGCCCAGGTTGGACTTGAATTCCTGGCCTTGAGGGATCCTCTTGCCTCTCCCTTCTAAGTAGCTGCGACTTCAGGTGTGTACCACTATGCCCAGCCAATTATACTTTCTGAGTTTGCTACACGGAGGGGTAAGTCATTTACCTATGTAGATCCAATTCCACATAGGGAAAAATGAGTTTCTCTTTAATCAATTCCCAAATGATTCGTGTCATTTCGTCTCCTTGCAGCTCTACCACAGAACCGCCACTGATTTTTTTGGACATTTTGACTTCAATAAACCTAAAAAGAAAAAAAAATACATGCCTTGTCATTTATTTCATTATAATTGGGAAAGTAAATATATAAACAACGTGGTGACTACTAAAAGAACAATTCATGCAATTCAATTTATGCGCAGTTGAGGTAACAGCAATTCTATTTACCATTAGAATTGAGTATCTTCTCTGTACAAAGTATTGTGTTATGTTTCACATGTAGTTTCTGAGCTAGCCCTCATAACAATCCTAAAAAACGGACATCATTTTCCCATTTTACTTTGTTAAAGGAAAAAGAGCTTTCTCAAGGCCACCTAGCTGGAGCGTGGGAGAGCCTGACTCTATAACATGGCCTTCATAATGCAATCATTATTCTCAACTACTGGTTTGTCTTATGAAATGAGATTATTTCCACAATCTCATGTTTATCAAACACTTCAGTCCAGCTCATCATTTTACTGGGCTCTCAAGATGAGCAGAGTGGTGAGTGCTAGTATTTCACCTCTTTTAAGAGGCTGTTTTTGTTATTTAATAAAAATAACTAGCCATGAGGAGATTCAACTGGTTCTTGTGACCCATATTTAGGGAAACTTTAAGTCTAAAGGCGAGATGAAGAATTCCCCGGGGGAACTGTTTTCCTAGAGATAACTCAGACATTCGAGATGTGGGGCTAAATACAACAAAGTGATTTCTCAATTAGAAGAATCTCTATACAGTAGGGCCACTGCCCAGGACCAAAGCATGTCCCTGTCATCTTCTTCTGGCTGTTCACAGGAAAGGGTAAGCTGCTAGTGAGTGGGACAGGACAATCTGTGCATTGTCCTAGGAAGACAGCACTTTAAGGATAGGGTGGTAGCATATACAAATCAATCTGATTCTCAGAAAGTGCAAGGGTGGACCCTTTGGAAAAAATGAAACTGTGAGGCTTCAATGAAGACCATGTCCCAGCTTGTCCCTAGAGGCAGAAGAAGCCCTGAGCCTGCTAAAAGTTATCTACTCCTTCTAATGATGCTCTAATGGAAACTCTTTTTTAATCCAACAACACAGCTACAGATTGCTTTTATTCGCTTAAGGACTAAAAAAGTCAAGAGAATTGACTTAAAAAATTTATTAGATAAGAGGCCTAAAATAATCTTTCTTTAAAAATTGAGCTAAAGTAATTTGGTCTTTAAATAAAAATATAATGATTAGTAGACAGTAAGCTTCAGTTTCTCGACAAGCCTGGATGTATTTCCAATCCCCAGGCCCATTTTCACTTTCCAAATTTGCAATTCTAGAATTTTTCTTACTAGTGTTTAGGAGATTCCTTTGGGGAACCTTCTGGAACTGAACTAGACTAAAAAAAATGAACAGAATGGTGTGGATGAGCCAATTACTTCCCATCTGTAATGTCAAGTATAATTTGTAGTACAGCTGAAAGCACATGATTCAGTTCATGTTTGATTCCACTGTCACACTCATCCTTATTTTAAAACAAAGCAAAAAAGGAGGCAGTGAACTTATCTGGTTCCTGATACTACACTTCCATGGCCATGCCCCTATATAGTATGATGCAACGGTCATGACATGGCAATTTATCATTGATGGCAAATACAGTTAATAAAGGTCAAATATTGTACCTAAAATGAAAAGACTGATATCTTTTTAGTTCACTATTTCCTTCTCAGTTAAAGCAACTGTATTCTCTACAATAATCTTTCTTTATCTCATCATGCATACCTCAAACGCTTCAGGTTTTCCTCACATTACTTAGCCATGAAATTTTTACCATCTTTTAACTAAAACAGTGAAGCTTTTTTGTTACTACCACATAGAACATAATTGTATTTCTTCTGGATCTGATTTCTGTGGGATGGGCTTGAGGCCCCACTGGACTGACCACCTTTGTTGCCCCTCAAGATTTTGTCTCCACCCCAACCCCAACTTCAGAAGGAAGGGCTGTTCGAAGACCAACAGGCACCAGCTCATTTACTCTTAAAGTAGCTGAATCCTATCTCCTAACATACTTGTGCAATTCCAGAAGATAAACCTGGAATAACAATACAGAATAGTTTAACGAAAAAAAGAGCCATTTAATGTTATTTTCATCAACCTCAAATTTTTGGCCAGATTGTTTTTTGCCGAGTTCATGAACTACAATAATTTCTGGGCAAAAATGTTCTCTTGCAGAGAAGGCACTGGATTAAAAGAAACAAGGAAGCTGTTGGAATTCGTTGGAAATATGCCTCACTCACTCCGTTGCAGTGCCTCGGCCTGCCCCCAAGACCAGTTAAACACTGTACTGCCACATCAAAGAAAGCACAGAAGAAGGGAGGAAATTGCTAATTCTTACCTTGACAGTGAATGAATTTATCACCCCAATTCCTCCCAGTCTTGCAGACTCAACTGAATGTAGTTTATCTCCTAAAACAAAATGAGGAATAGAAAGTGTTAACATACAGAACACTCACAGGAGAATTTAGCTGTTTTTAATACCTGCCAGACAGCCCAGTTTATCTGGTTTCAAGTACAGTGGTGAGTGTATTTGGAGGCACAAAGGCCAGTTTTAGGCCCCGCAGGCACTTCCCAAATAAAGGTCACGGGAGCACAATTATCTCTGCGTGTCCCCGCTTCGCTGCCCGTCAGCAGGTCTTGGGGTTTGCACGTCCTTGCTCTTGGCCTGCACCCGTCCTTATGGCCGTTGTGCAAGAGGGCTGCAACCACGGCTGGATCGGTACCTCCTTCCAGGTCTCCACGCCTGCCCCTCCCCTCCTCTCGCTGGTGCTGGGACCTTTTAAACTCCACGCACCCGGAACTGGCGGGGGTGTTTTCCCAGCCCACTCTGGCCCCGTGTGGCCTAGCGACCCCTCGGAAGGCCGCTGGAGCTCCGCCCCCTCCACGCCCCCTGGCGGGCGCGAGGGATCAGCCTCAGGGCTATTCCCCGCCGCCTGAGTTCCCTGCAGACGCCCGTCTTCGGCTTAACAGCCGCCTTTGCATCCAGCCCGCAGCTGCTGCACATTTTCTTCCTCCTACACTCCAGGCTTAGTCTTCTACATGCATTCTTGCAACCTCCACCCCTCGATTTTCCAACTTAAGTGCAGACATGATTTTCCCCTTGTCATTGCATCCAACTTCCCCACCGCCCAATTTCTCCCTCCCATGCCCAAAAGCAGGCCTTCTGCATATCCAAGCATCCAGCATCCCCTCCTACCCCTTTTTCTTTTCCCATTCTCATTACCTGGATTTGTTCCCTTCTTTGCCAGCAGGCCTCGACTCCCTCCACACCCAAGATCTGCGCTTTCTTCCTTTACCCGATTCCTGCCTTCTGGGGAATTAGAACCACCCCACCACAGCCAGGGACCGGGGCCGCCCCTCGGAGCCAGAGGTTACCTGCCAGGATGCTATGCTGGCGAGGAGTTGGGGCGCCACAGCCGCTCACAAGCTCAGACTCACAAACACAGCCTGGCAATCCCAAACCGGATTCCCAGTGCCTCGGCTTCTGAAGTAGACTCTGCAGAAACCCGGGACCATAGGGCGGGTCCAAGCTTTTCCCCTTCCCGGCTTTGTCCCCTCCCAGGCCCCGCCTCCTCAGCCCACCTCCCCCAGCCCCGCCTTCGACACGCCTCCAATCACCAAGAGTCAATTCCCGTGGGGTGGGCGGAGTCCGCGAGAGGGGCGTGGCCACAGCCAGGGATAGAGACTCCATGGTGCCACTTTCCCGGTGATCCTGTTGGGGGAAGGGGTTTCCGCGCCGCAGTGATTCAGTCCCCAATTCCGACAGCGGAGAGACTCGAATGCCACCTGCAGGCCGGGGAGCGGGGCGCGCTGGGGCTGCACCACCCAGAACTTTGTAACAATCTAGAGCACCACGGAATGAGTTTCCAGGTCGGCATTGAAGTTAACCGGACAGGGCGCCCTGGGCGGTGGCAGCTCGGCCGGCCCGCTGCCTGGCGCGCCCCTGAGGGGCGGTAATGGAACGTGCCTTTGGCTGAAAAAAGAGTGCCCCCAGCCAGCGCGGGGTCGCCTAGGGGATTCGGCGCTGCCGAATGCAAAGGATGGAACAGTTACACAAGCAGGTCCTGCCACCACGTATGTCTCGGTCTGTAGAAACTCCATTGATTGTTTGCGTTAGAAGATAATGAATGGTATTCTTATTATTTTCTGTTTTAAGACAGGGTCTTGCTCTGTTGCCCTGGATGGAATGCAGTGGAGCGATCACCGCTCACTGCAGCCTAGACTTCCTGGACTCAAGAGATCATCCCACCTCAGCCTTCCGAGTAGCTGGGATTACAGGTGCACACAACCACACTTAGCTAATTCTTCTTTATTTCTTTTCTTTTCTTTTTCCTTTGGTAGAGACGGGGTTTCACCATGTTGCCCGGGCTGGTCTCGAACTCCTGGGCTCAAGTGATCGGCCCTCCTCGGCCTCCCAAAGTCCTGGGATTACAAGCGTGGGCCACCATGCTCAGTCGAGGGGGATTATCTGTGATCCAATGAAGCTGGACTAGAGATGTGAAGCCTTAAAAAACGGTGGATTAAAAAAAGAATTCTGGTCTCCTCCAGAGATTGTATCTTGTGTGTTCATTGTTCTCAAAAACATGAAAATAAATAGTGTTTTATATTGTGATCTGTAGGATAATAGCATGCTTTTATATTGCTGCCCAGAATTTAATGCTGCAATATTTATTTATTTATTTGTGAGACAGAGTCTTGCTCTGTCACCCAGGCTGGAGTGTGGTGGCGCAGTCTCGGCTCACTGCAACTCTGCCTCCTGGGTTCAAGTGATTCTCCCGTTTCAGCTTCCCAAGTAACTGGGACTACAGGTGTGCCACCATGCTAAGCTAATTTTTGTATTTAGTAGAGATGGGGTTTCACCATGTTGGCCAGGTTGGTCTCGAACTCCTGACCTCAAGTGATCCGCCTGCCTCGGCCTC